TCGGTCATGCTCAAATTGCGAGCGGAACTGCTCCTCTAAATGGTACTCTGCGGCATCAATTTCATTTTGCAAGCTGAGGCTAGCATTGTGCTGAATGAAGGGACGGCTGTTGGTCGGCTCGGGAGTCTTTGACGGGCTCTTGTTGATAGGCTGTTCTTCAACCTCTTCCTCAATCTCACGTAGGTCCTGAAGCCGTGGCGATGCGCGCGCAGAGGTTTGGAGCTGCGGGTACTGCATCATAGGATACTGAAGAGATTGATGGCGCTGGTGGAGGGGAGGCGAAGTGAAGCTCCCATCGGGCGTGAACGGCGAAGTCGGTGACATGACTGAGGAAAGAGCCGCCAGAGAGGGCGAGCCACCGCGTACGATGCCATGTTGCATCAAAAGAGTCTGAGGCGAGAAACCGCCAGGACTTTGCTGCTGCAGAGGCGGCAGCTGGAACATACCAGCCGGAATAGATATCGACTGGCGGTTGTACTTGTTTGGATTGGCACCGAAAGGGATGGGTGATGCAGTTGAGAGAATCGAAGGGCTTTGAGTGCCGCTTGCGCCAGGGACAAAGGCACCGGGGAATGTGAAAGGCGGTACTCCGTGATTGCTCGATGCCGACGAAGTCGGGATAGGCGGTGAAAATGGAAGTGGCGGGTAGACAGTGGCCGACGACTGGCGACTGATGGAGGCGCCTGCGCCCGGCGATATGGCTGGAGGCAAAGGCGGCTCCTCGTCACCAAAAGAGACACCCAGAGCGCGCAGCTTGGCCTCATTCAGTTCTTCAACGTAGTTCTTCCAGGCGTTGAGATCCGGAAGTCGGATAGGGTACTTCCGCTGTGCGCGTTCGCGCACAATGTCACCCTCATCCGGCCACGACGGCCGACTCATCGAGCGGCTCCCTTCGCCGTAGTAATCATGGTCATTAGCAGAGACCGAATGGTTAAGATCGAATCCTTTGACGTCGTAACCCAGCTCCTCCCACGAATGCAGCATGTTGTCCACGTCTGTTTTTGTGAGGGGCTTCGGGGCTTTGCCGATTTTGCCACGCTGTTCGTCCAGGGGCAACAAGACAATGATGCTCTTTCCCTTCCACGGAAGCTTCTTCTTGACGCGCCGTGGGGTTTTCCTAGGGGACGCTGCCATTTTGGAAACAGCCAGCTCTCCGAGTGGATCAAGAGACAGGTCTGGCTGGGTGCCGCTGGCGGATGTTTTGGACGGTGGAGTTGCGGGAGGGGGAAGTGGCACGGCCTCCGGACCGGGCACAATGGAAGCCTTGGTAGACGGAGGTGTTGCAGGTGCTGCCGCGGTAGATACTGCGGTGGCAGTATTTTCGGTCGCCACAGCCGGAGGCGGCACCTGATCGGCTGCGGGATCCGTGGGCATGTCAGGGCCAGCAGGCGAGTCTGCAGTCGCCATGTTCCCGTTTTTGGAATTGGATTCGTGGATACCGCGCTCAAGAACTGCTCTATGCAAACGATTCAGATCAGACTCACGCAGTGTCTCTAGGCTTGAGGGGTGTCGCGGATGATGAGCACGGTTGCGGCGCGGTTGCTGTTTGGCAGAAACCAAGCTGCTGGGAGAGCGGCCTGCCCGGTTGACAGGGATGGCTCGGGGTGTGCGAAGCGAAAGCTCGTCGACTTCGTCGTGGTCGCCAGAGACAGATCCGCTCAGTGAAGAGTTCTCGCTGTCTCCTGCGCTGCTATTATCGCTCAACCAGAGTCGTGCTTCCGAGCCAAAATCGCCAGTGGTGTGTTGGCGAATCCAGTCTTCGGTGAGGCCACGCGCAGGTCGCCGGGCACGGTTCGCGAGGACAGTCGCGCTGACAAGGGATGACGATTGCTGAGCAGAAAAGGGCGGGGATGAAAGCAGGTCCTCTCCCGCTGAACGGGCGTCCTCGTCTTCTTCACTCTCTTCAACTTGATACGGGGCGGGCCGCAAAAAGGGGGTTTGAATCTCAAGGTGGTGGATGGGCGAGTCGTCGGATGGGTCACTGCTCAGGCTGGAGAAGCGCAGGTGACGCGACGTGTCCGACTGTGGATATGGGGAACCCCAACTCGCAGTGACGAAGCGACTGTCTTCTCCGTGTTGGCCTGTAGCGGCGTCGGCAGGAGGCGGTGTTCCTAGCAGGGCCTGGGCACGCTCGGGCAGTCGCGGAGCAACGAGTGCCGGCAGGATCGGCGAAGGACCGGCGTCGGCAGTAGATGCAGTGGACCAGGCCGGAGAACCCGGGTTCGAGGGCGTTCGTGGTCGATGTCTTCTGTCGGCCTCCTGTGCAGCAGCACCGAGGAGGGTTTGTTGAGTCGGGAGTGGAGAAGACGTCGTAAGAGACCTGCTGGAGGTGTGAGAAAGGCGCATCGCAGAAGGCTTGTTAAAGGGGGAGGCGCGGACGCGCCAGGATTAAGAGAAAGGGGCAGCGAGGTACGAAAATTCAGGTGCGGAACAAGAGAGGTTCGGAATCCAAATTGTGGGATTCGGTAGGCGATGCGCGTCTGAACCCGGACGGACGGGTAACTGCAACACGGGACGACGGCAAAAGGTGGGAAAGAGTAAGGTAGGTTGGGAGACGGCTGGTGCCACGGATTCAAAAGAAGCCAAAGAAGCCAAAGAAGCAAAGTAGGAAACATAAAACGGGCTTGGGTATGATGGGCTAAGCAAAATAACATACCTCGGCGAGAATCAGCGGCAGACGAAGAACAAATTCGCCTGCAGCCAAGTCTCTGGAATGGGGAGAGCGATCCGCGAAAGAGGGCGACACGTAAGGACAGTCGTGTGCATTCAGGAGAACCGGGCTCAACGCATGGGGATCCGAGCTCTCGCGAAAAGCGCAGACAGGAGAAACCCAAAACCGCGATGCGAAGAAAAATTAAACAAGAGAAATATGAGAGACGGAAAAGGAGGAGAAGCACACACCAAACATGCTAAGAACGGGGGACGAAGAAAAAGGAAGAAGAGAGACGAAAGGATGGGTCGTCAAGACAAGAGGTGTCGCGCAAGGGGTGAGGAAGGGGAGGGAGTAGAAAGGGGAGTAGAAAGGGGAGGTGACAGAGCAGAAGAGAAACGACGAAAGGGGGACCGAAAAAGAGGACAAAAATCACTACTGCACTGACAGACGAGAGGATGCAGGGCAGGGGGGTGTTTCCGTAGGGCCGCGCACAACACGCAGGAACAGGTTGTGGAAGGAGCGATGGGACATAACGAAGGCGAGGCCACACAGCACCCAGCATTAAGGACGGCAGACGGACACAGAGCGCCAGCACCTGCCTGCTGTTCGAGGTCGTGGTGGATTCGCGCAGCAAATCAATTTCGCCGAGGGCTGGCCATGGCTTCCCCGACGCGTTCTTTCGTATTTTCCCGTTTATTTGTACATTTAATTTAATTCGTTCTAACGTTCCCGAAGGTATGGAAGGCGCGTTGGACAGACTGTATGGAACACACTGTAAGTCTTACGGAGTTTTCAGTAAAGCAATGTGCGCTGTCCACCATTTCCACGTGTTCCTCTAAGCTGACTGCCCTCACGATCATGAAAAGTGCAAATTATGTCCTACGAACCACCCAAACTCGACGGCCAAAAGATGACACAGACGCGGATGCGCCTCGTTTTCTCGTCTTCGTGTCTCCCCATTCGGTCTGGCCACGCGAAGTTGCGTTTGCCCCGCCCAAAGCAAACAATACAACCGTTTTATGGAGCGTGGAACGCGTCGGGCGGGAATGAAGTCAAGGCAGGCTTTTGGCCCCAGGCATTATTTATCTAGTTCGCAGCCTGGCGTGTCAAATAACGCGACAGAATGGCTCTATAAGAACTAACGAAAGGGGAGTGCCAGGACTGGCCAGAACCGGTACGGGAGCGCTAGAGCCGTAGACCAGATAGCGTGCTCAGTAGAAGGGACCTCCCTTTGTGCTAATTTGAGAGGCGGGCGTGCTGCAAGTTGGTGCTCGTGCTTCATGATCTTTGATGCCGTTGGTTTTTGAAGATTGCTCCTTCCCAGCATCTTTTCTTCTCCTTCCAAGTCGGAGTCAATTATTCGTACTGTCCCTTCTTTCCGCCACTGGCTTGTTTGGCCCCACGCGTCTCCCATTGCTTTTTTTCTCTCTTTTTCTTTTGACTTCATTTCATCTCTGATTGTGCACTTGCTGTGGATCGCGCTTCCCTACAAGTTTAATGACAGCGAGTCCCGCTAGATGTATAGTGACTAATTGAGCTGCGAAATTGCTGCTTATTGTACATTTTACGTTGTATCGGTACATACAAGAGTCTTACCTCCCTAGGTCCCCTATTTCTTAGCGTGTTCGCCCACATCGTCCTCTCCTAAGTCCTCTTTAAAGCTTGCCAGCGGGGCAAGGCAATCCCCGACCTGACCCACAACAGATGCTCTACTCCTGTAAGAATCCGCAGGCGACTTGACTACATGCCCTGCTAATCGCTATGTACACCGCATTGCGTACGATATACAGTCTCGAGTATTCCGTAGACGAGAGTTTCTGAACTTCATTGCCAGTGAGCCAGTTTCCCCTGTAAACAAGTCAGATGTTCGCCATCAGCGCACAGAGCTTGGCCAGTTTTGACTCCGTATCCGTCCGTTTCATTTGGTAACAGCTCGCATGGCCCGGTTTTAATCCCCAAATTGCCCCTTGGTGAACAAGCCTTTCCAGTCGGTGGCGAGAGTTCCCTATTTGAGTATGACTTATATTTCATCCATCTTCGCGTTTCGTGAGGAAATGCAAACATCTGGCTCAGTTACGGCTTTTGGGAAAAGAACGATTGGAGAGTCTGGGCGGTCATAATTCACCGCCACCGGACATTGCACGTGGCTAGACGGCATGGATTCAAAGTGTCTGCGCAGGACTACTCCGAGCGGAAGAAATGACCAACTCGAGTTTTTCGTTAAATTGATTCTGCAATCCAGTGTGAGGCGCACACTTTGGTACTATATGCCATGAGACCCATAACGTCCTCCATACGAAGTTCTAGTGTACAACAGATTACAGAAATTATCCAGTGACATAAAAATCTAAAATCCAAAAACACTATTTGTAGCCCACGTCGAGCCCGCTTGCAGCCCCGGCCCCTCCGTAAAGTATTGCAACTCGCCCTGGTAGCCATCGTCGGGCAACTCGGGGATCATCGTCTGCTCGTAAAACCCGACCGACGGCATTTGCGTCATCATGGACATGTCGTTGACGTTGAGAGGGTCCGTATGGACGCCGTGACCCTGCTCAGAGAGGTGTTGCGTAACGTAAGGATTGTCATGCTGCGGTGGCAGCTGCTGCTGCTGCTGGTGCAGTTGGCTGGCACCATAGCCCACAACGCCGTGGGATACCATGCCGCCAGCTAAAACGGCGGCTGCTTCTGCCTCTTCCGACGTGTTTGTGGAGGCCTTGTCGTATCTCTGCATCATAAAATTGTTGCTGTGACCATCCGGGTGTGCATGGGAGGCTTGAGGCATGGAAGGGAGCTGGGGCAGCGTCGACGCGACACCCGACTGCACCGCCGCTAGTGGATTGGCCATGCTGGCAATTGCATTGCCGTTCGGAGACATGATCTCGGTACCCTGGTGGGATGGTGATTGCTGATGATGCTGGTGATTTTGGTGTTGCATATTCGGTGTACTTTGTCCCTGGGCAAATGACGTTGGCGTTCGCATGCCCCCACCTCCCAACTGGAGGTTGTGTGGTGCTGGCGGTGGGAGCACCAGTGTCGATGGTAGTGTGGACGGCGCAGTCGCATAGTGCGCTGCTGCGGATGCCGTATTCGTGACGAGGTTGGGCGACGGCTGTGGTGGAGGGAGCCGCATGGGTGAATTAATCAGCGAGGCATCTGGTCGGAAGTGCGGCAATTGAATCGAGCCATGGCCCGTGCCGTTCGCACCGCCGCCAGAGCCATTGCTTATGTTGCCGCCTGCAGAGGGGCTGGCCGACCGCGCGTGCGGGCTGTCGGCGCCGAGTTGTCGGGCTAGTTGCCGACGGTCATCGAAAGGTGTATTTGATGGCCCGGAAGGTGCTAGACTAGCCAGAGGCGGATGCAGCGCCGACGGGATAGGATCTTTCTTCACGGCATGTCAGAAATCGTTGCGAAAAAATGGGCTGGGGAGACGAGGACGAGGAATAACGTACACCTTCAGCCATGCCCCCCTCGTGAGAAGAATTTGATATCATCGACAAAGTCTTAGTATCGGCTGCGAGGAGTTTCTCAACAGAGTCTATCCAGCGCCGGGCGAGCGGCCACACGCTCGTGCTTTGAGTCAGGATACTCATTGTTCGGTCAAGCATGTGTTTGCCCTCTCGAGTGATTGCCGCATCAGGACACACTGCGTTTGAGGTTAGACTCGGTTCATTTTGAAAAGTTGTATGGTGGGCTACCAACTCACACTTGGGGTATTTGTACAGATACGCGGCCATCAGTCCACAGCTATAGACACAGAATATCTAAACGAAGTTAGTCAGTATGAGTTCCAGGATAGCTAGTCAGTCGAAGGTGGTTGAAGAATTTGTCACTAACCGCCAGCTGTGCACCTGTGCCGTCACCAGGTTCCCGTTCTTCAATCCAGCAGTCGATCTGCGTAAACAGCTCTTTCACATTCGAGAAGAGCTCGCTTGACATAGTCCTCCAGAACTCCGTGTGTTTCTTTATTCTACCTTCCACAAGCATACTAAACGAACGTCAGTAAACAAACAGGTTACCAGCAAACAGGAATACATTCACCGACGCTAGAACAACATACAGCGGAAGATAGGCCTTTCGTATCAGGATATTGCAAAGACGGGTAACCATAGTCACGGCCACGTATGCCTGCCAGATGGTCTTAGTTTGCTGGAAACAAGAGTAGTTTCGACATATATTTTTTGAAAGATACGACAACGGGGAAAACGTACCAAGTCCAGATCCCGGGCCTTGTAATCTCGCAACAACGTTCGGCTCCAGCGGTGCTCTGCCGGCAAATGGCTTTCCCAATCGCTGAGCTTCTGCTTGATTTTTTGGTACTCGCTATTGGGATCCCAGGGCAACACCATGCTTCGGTTGTTGCTAACTGTACGGCGCAACACGATGCCCCATAGCTGGTGGCTCTGCATCAGTGTAGCAAAGAGAGACCTCGTCGGCATATTCACCAAGTCAGACTCTAGTTTTGCTGGTGAGGTGTTTTCAAGTGCAGCGCGGGATGCAGGCAAAACACCATTATTGAAATCCTCCTCGTTGCTGGGCAATAAGGTGGTGATATCGCTTGGGGCAAGTGCTATGGTAGCCATTGGGCCGGCATGCAAATTATCTTGGCCTAGAAGTAAAGGAGGTAGAGGTCAGCATCAAGAGTAGACAGCGGTCTCATTGCGGACTGTCTTACTGTAGAGCATCCACTAAAGGCGGGGTTATTAGTACGGGATATTTATGATATTTGAAAAACAAAAAGTTTGTGGCCAGACAGGCATAACATACCAAGGTTCGACGGGCAGATTCGGCCTTTTGTATCATCGCCGGTGTTCGGTCCTCGAGTGCATACGTCTCCTCACGGTGCAGTTGCATTAGGATGGCCATACGCAAGGCAATGCCCAGGTTGACGAAGCTTCGGTTGCGGTAGCCGCTGCCCTGTTGAGCCAGGCTGAGCAGGTAGAACGCCTGACACCGCGCCAGGGTCGGTTCCTGGTACAGCTCTGTGAGGGCAATAGCTGACGCGCGGTCCATGAAGAGTTCGGCCGTGGGACCGGCGCCGCCATGAGTCTCGACCAACGAAGGTGTCATGCGCGCTGAGACACTGAGCAAGCTCAATAGCAGAAACACGCTGACAGATTGGGGCTGCTCGCGCAATTGCTGCACAAACGTATGGCGTGGGATGAATCCAAGCTGAAAGTACTGGCGCGTGAACATGTCGACTGCGTCAATGACCTGCTCCAGTGGTGGTAAGAGATCCCATGGATCGGCAGGTAGAGGCAAACCCCCGTCAATTGTAATCGTTCCATTAGGGTAAATCGATCTGCTGCCGCCTCCCGGAGGTGAGGAGGATATCGTGCCGCCTACCAACTGGGCTCGGTGTGTGCGAGTGCTTTCCTTCCGGGCCTTGTCGCCCTTCATGCGCGGGTGACGATACTCGCGATCCATATCCGGCGCGCCACGTGCGGGAAAAACACTTTAAGAATTGTCACATTAGTACGCGTGTCGGTCAGAGAGCGGGGTGAGAATCGCAGCGAGATGAAGTACGTAATATGTGACTTACCATTCCTCTACGCTCACACCGGCTGCGCGGCAACCTTCGCAGGGCGGTTTGGCGCCATTGTGCACGCATTTGCTGCGCATTCGACGGCATCTGGAGTAAGGTCAGAAGGACGGGCAACGCAAAGGTCGGATGAAGGACGCCGAGAAGAGCACAGATGAGAATCAAATTGGAGATGGGCCAACTCCAGCACACGTACCTGCGGCAGGCAACAGGCGAACGGCGTTTGATAATGCGCTGGGCATTGTTCCCCACGGTAGCGGGTGAGCTGCCCGGTTGAGACTGGTCGGTCGAGGTCGGCGCTTTTGTGTCGAGAGCACTTTGGCTGGTGTGCTGCGCTGGCGATCCAGCCTTGCCAACGGTTGGTGTGGGCACGGCTGCCGTCTCGTGTGCGCTGTGCTTCACCGGGCCGCCGGCCGGCTTCGGGGCACGCGGCTGGCCGCCATCCATGATTGAGGGCGGTTAGGTTCAGCTGGGCGACCGTGGATGGGCGATAAAAGCGACGCTGTTGGGTGGCTCGGCCTCTAAAGAGTAGGTGAACGGGAATAAGGAGTCGGCCGGCGTCCAACAGTTGTCGCGACAATTGTGGAGGGAAAGGTGCTGCGCGACCGGCAATCGGCGACAGGTGGCGTGCAGCAGGCGAAGCGCAGATGCGCAGAAGAGCAATGCACGGCGTGCGACGTGGAACGAAGGTGTTGAAGCGTGCAAAGTATGGTGCACTGAAGTCGATTCCGACCGGACTGCCGAGACGGCGAATATTCTGACGTAGGTCAGACGGAAAGAAGGTTCACCAGTAGCGCCGAATAAAGAAGAACAAGTCAAAACACGGCCTGGCCAAAGAAAATCGAGGGATAAAGAACCCAGAAGCTGAAGTTAACTAAGGTTTCCTACCACTCGTTAAAGTGGGGCCCCTTAAAGGTCGCAATAGCGCAAATGTCGGATGCTTTGCAACGGATGGCGAAAAGCGTTATGTTGTGCAGTATTACAAGGAAGAACCGGTAGCAAAAGGAGTCGCTGGCGAGGTCGAAAACGACCAGGCCAGATGCGTCTAGGCAAGGATCGCTCTCGACCCTTGCGGTGCGCCTAATAGTCACGATTCTAGGAAGGCTTCGGAACTAAGAACAGGCTAGAAGCACCGTAACAGTAGCACAGAAGTGTGGTCTTCTTGCCGGCCGGGGAGCTGTGGTGGCTGTATGGGTGCGAGTGGAGGTTCTGTTGGAGTTTGGATTCTGGTTGGAGCAAGTCGAACTTCGAATTGGAGACGCCTTGCTGGGGAAGCGCGGTGCTCTTTGATGCGGGCTGGCTGTCTCGCCCCGTTTGAGCAAGAGCAAAAGCGAACAGACAACGAGACTGGCCTATTGGGTGGACGGCGTCGAGGAAATAACGTCCGTGCGGTTGGATGGGACTAGGCGAGATACGACATACGACTCTGCTGAGGCAACGTGGGTGGGGAAGCTGTGGACAGATGCGAAAAGGGGCGGGAAGTATGTGGTATGGCCGAGAACAAAAGGACAAAATAACGGCTGGTCAAATGAGCAATTGGCCGAAGCACAAGGCTGTTCCATCGAGACATCATCAGAGCTGGTTTGCCCGCGCCATTAGACCGACTCAGAGAGCTCACCGGAGACGCGCTGTTCAGCTGAAAACACTTCAAAAACGCCGCCTGGTCACGAATACACCGAGCACTGCTGATAGTCAAGGTGTGAGCATGGGCTTCTTGGAAAAAGGTCAGCAAAGCCAAAGGGAAGCTGGCGCTGTGAGGCGGCCGGAAGCCGTGAATTTCTTGAAACTCTTAAAAAGTACATTCATACCTGCATGGCCTAGTGGACCAACAGACACCGATCCATATGAGACCGCTAGGCCAACAGACCGCAAAGAGCGATAGAAAAAAGCAAGGGATAGTAGATAGGATACGAAACAAGGAGATTTTTTGCATTGTGGTTTTGTAATTATGCTGTCGAATATTGGAAGATGGGGGGCAAGTCGGATTGAGCAGCATAACATCGGGGGAAATGATTGACTTTGGTGTGGAAGAAAGAGGAAGGAGAAAAGGGCGGTCTAGGAAGGTGTGAACCGGGGTGTTTCGCGAGGAAGGTGCGCAGAGAACATGCTGCAGGCCGCGAAGTCTACCAGGTAAAATAAGCAAACGGAACACCCGTACGAAGTATGCTGTACGCTGGCGAGGCTGAAATCATTTAGCAAACGACAGGATGCAACACCATGCGCTTCAAAACAGTTGATACTCGAGCGGTACTGTCTGGCTGCGAAAGGCCTCAGCCTACGGAGAACAAAAACTTGAACCTGCATCCGCCCACGTCAAGCTAAAGGACCACTGGCGGGGCCTTGGGGGCATTAAAGAATCTCCTAGCACTCTTAGTGCTGTTAAAAGCCGGCAGTGAAGGTGGGGTGTTGCTGGCCGAGCGTTGACGAAGTAGGGATGTCTCGAAGATGAGATTGGTGAGCAGCGTTGGACGGGATGATATGTGATACGTCGTACAGCAGCAGTCATGAAAACAATGAGCAATATACTGCAAGGCTCGACAGCCGAATGGCCGCGGGGTAGTTTGTGTGTTCTCAGTTCGAACTCGTGTTAAATGTCTTACATACGGACTCGATAATCATACGACATAAAGCCTACCAAACGCTTGCCCAGGCTTATGTCAGCCAGAAGACGCACCTGCCCAAAATGATCAGTGATAAATAAACAATATCGGGAGTCTTGGAGAAGGGGAAGGAACGGCATGCCTTCTTATAATGTCTGCAATGTTTGCTCCCATCTCATGAAAAGCCCGGAGAGTACGACGTACTTAAAGCTGCGTCCCTCGTTGACACACCCAAGATTGGTGACCCCCACACGTCTCTCCATGGAGCAGCCCAATACAGCTGAGCAAAACAAGCATATGCTGATTTGCCTGCCGCCAACTCTTGGCCGCCATCCAACCACGATGCCCTGCATTACCAAGCCGCGAGCAAAATCCCTGCGGATATCTAGCTCAATCTAGTCCATGGTGGACTTGTCCCGTGCATAACCCCGTGCCCAGTGCAAGCAGCGGACCACCAGTCTCAAGCTAGCTACCCGGAGCCGTAAAATGATAGAGCCGTCAGAGGAATATGGCAATACATTTGCAGAGATCGTCGGTCCTGAGGCTCGGGGTCCGTATTCCTCCAGCTCTTACAGAGTTTTCAGCTGTCTCTGACAGTGGGTGCCCAGGCCACAGACAAGCATATGGCAAAGGAAACCAAAGCGGACGGTCCCGTCGCGCCCGAACGCCAAGTTTTCCTTGCAGCCCCTCGTAACCCCCCTACCCAATCACGTCCATAACTACAGAAGTACACTCACATCACATCCTCACACCCTCACACTCCTCGGACAATCGCCCTCCCTGCGACCTACGTCCCAAGATTGCAGTGGTCCATGACCAGTCTATGAAAGCAGCGGCCTACCGACCAGGCCTTTGGAATATCAAATGATACATCACATCAGAGACACCATTGGCCGTCCGTGCTTTGGTTTATTGTGCCGGCAGCCTCCGGTTCATTTTAAATCATTGCGTCTTTCCCACCGTTTCTCTCCATTCTCGTTATCAACTTTGCCAGATCCTACTCACCTTTTCTTCTACTTGTAAACAAGGCAAGCCCCGGCCTCCGAGAAACACAACCATGGCCCTCAGCTACCTCCCGTTAGTGTCGTCACCAGCCGTGTTGGCGACAGCAGCCGCATCCGTCCTACTCTATGTTCTATTTTTGGTCCTTCACAGGTCCCAACACTCTTCGCTTCCCCTGCCACCAGGCCCTCCGGGCCAGTTTCTTGTTGGCAACCTTGGTGATGTCAGCGCCGACCATCCGGAGGAAGACTACATGCGATGGGGCAAAGACTACGACTCGGACGTCATTCACGTCGAGGTCCTTGGTCAGCACCTGATCTGCCTCAACAGTGTTGCTGCCGCCACCGAGATACTCGACCGTCGTGGTGCCAACTACTGCGACCGGCCTCGCTTTGCGCTCTTCGAGGTCATGGGCTGGGGCCTGACGTTGACGTTCTTGCGCTGGGGTCAGCAGTTCAAACTTCACCGCAGCCTCTTCCAGAAGACATTCACGGCATCCAACGTTAAGGTTTTCCGGCCCATCCAGCTGCACGAGTCGCGCAAAGCTGTGGTTGACCTGTTGGCCCATCCGGACCGCTGGGAAGAGGCCACGCTGTTGATGACAACGAGTATCATCTTCCGCATTGCCTTTGGCCAGGAAATCACGGACGTATCGTCGCCGTACTGTGCGATGGCTGCCGCCGCCAACGAAGCCACGACCAACGGCGGCATTGCCGGCACCTCACTCATCGATTTGTTCCCGCCCGCACGGTTTCTGCCCAGATGGCTAAACCCGTCGCCGGCGCTACGCCATGCCCGCAACAGCCGTAAGGCCATCCGTACGATCCACGACGTGCCGTGGGCCGCTTCGCTCAAGGACATCGAGGCTGGCACGGCGCCACCGTCGTTTATGCGTACACACTATGAGCGCTTGCAAGAAAGTATCCGAGCTGGCAAGCCCATCGAAATGACCGAGCGCGACATCAAGGGTGCCACAGGCGCTGTCTTCATTGCTGGCGGTAACTCGACCTGGAGTACTGTGCTCTCAAACCTCATGTTCCTCGCCAAGAACACGACTGTGCAAAAGGGCATCCAGGAGGAGGTTGACCGTGTGCTTGGTGTCGATGGTAGGGATGCGCAGTCGGCTCCAAGGCTGCCGACGTTCGAAGACCGGTCCGATCTTCCTCGTCTCGACCGCTTCCTCCAAGAAGTCCAGCGCTCCCTTCCACTCAACCCTCTGGTCATCCCGCACAAAAGCTTGCGAGAGGACGAGTATCGTGGCATGCGCATCCCCGCTGGTAGCCTGGTGCTAGCCAACACCAAGGCGATGGCGATGGACCCACGCGTTTACCGCGACGCTCACATTTTTGACCCTGACCGGTATATCAGCACGGAACACGGCGGCCGTGGCGAGCCGTTCCCCAATGGCAATTTTGGATTTGGCCGGCGCAAGTGCCCGGGCAACTTTCTAGCCATGGCCACGGTATACATGTTTCTAGCGACGCTGCTGGCCGTGTACGAGGTCGAGATGGTTATGGGGCCGGACGGCAAGCCGATCGAGCCACAGCCGGCGGTGACCATTGGGCTAGGCGGGTATGTATCCTTTATGGGGTGCAACCAAATGTATTGTGATTTCTACTGACGCTTCCGTGCTTTTGCAGACATCCAGCACCTTTCCAGTGCCAGTTGAGGCTGCGCAACGCAGCTATGGCCCAACTTCTCAAGGAATCGACATGAACTTTGAATCAAATGGTATTACTTGTATAAGGGACACGTCAAAGTAAAAGACATAGTTACATTGCCACATCAATGCGAAATATCAAAATCTTTTACACGGTACGTGCCACTGTAGACCATGCTAGACATGGAGTATAAAATGAGATCTGAGATGGATGTGTCTTCGTTAAGCTGGAAGTAACCTACAACGCCCAAATTCTACAATGCGTCTTGACGCGTAAATCGTAGTATCATCGCTTGAACTTTATATTCTTTTTCAATATGTCCGTCCGGTTTGCATCAATAGCAAACTTTTGTCTGGCCCCCTCTATTTCTTCGAGTCCTCTCCGCTCCCTTTCTTGCTGCTGCCGATCAGGGTGCCGTCTGACTTTTTGAGGATCTTGGCCACCCACTCCTCCACCTCGCGCTCGGCCTCCTCGTCCGTCATTCCGCCACCGCTCATCGTCCCATCCAGATTCTGGCCGCGTGTGTAGCGTCGGGCCAGCGCCCGCACGTCGTCCATGGAGCTCAGGTCCAGCGCCCACGACATGCCGCCCGTCAGCATGAGAAAAAAGCTCATAACGTTGAGCGTGGCCAGGTTCAGGGCCTCCAGGGCCATAAATGAGCCGTGCGGCGCCTCTTCCTTGGTCGCCGAAGCCGCCGCAGCCTCGGCGGCCGCACCGCCGCCCAACGAGGTCTGGCCGGAGCCGCTGGGCGAGTAGAACTTGAGCTGGGCGGCAAGTTGTTTGCGGGCGACAGTCCGCCGTGTCAGAGTGGTGGAGAGTGCGAAGAAAGTGGCACCCGCAAAGAAAAGCCCGAGCTGTTTGAGGGAGCGGGAGGAGAACATGGAATGGTCGTGCGGGGGAAGAGACTGCGGCTGTTGCTGAGACTGGAGGGCGGAGACGACAGTCGTCGGTGTTTGTCTTGGAGCCTCTGGCAGCGAGGGTGCAGGGGCAAGGGAGGCAGTCGCCGTGGCAGCCGGTGGTGTCGTCGCGGCGGCGTCTGGCGACTTCAAGTCTGGCGGCAGCAATTTGCCGATGAGCGATGCAATGATCGTCATGGTAGCGATGGAGGAGGGGGCTGTTGACAGTAGAGCAAAAAAGACAGCCAATTGCTTCCTAGATTGAAGAACGGAAAGAAACGAAAGGGCGATGGGTACGTGTAGGTGGTCGTTGTGCGTCGAGGGTGGAGGCCGAGAAGGCGGTTGTCGACGCTGTGGAAAGATTGGAAGCGCAACTCTTGAGAAATTTGCAGCCCGTGGCGCGCCGGCCTGGCGAGCCTGGCAGACCCAGGTGGATTCTAGTGAGGGGGCCACGCCAGCCGCCTTTTCAGTGGGCCAGGCCGCAGCGCGGGGGATAATGGTCCACAGCAGGCAGTAGTGGGGAGCTTTCTGGGGCAAGAGCGCCAGGGGCGTCTATTGCGCATTGCGGACACAAATGTTCCATGAAGCAGATATCGCGATTGCTGCTGAATACTTTCTTCGTCAACTATCATATCGCCATTCCATCGAGTGTTCTACTATTTCCTCTTACACCCCAAAAAGACTGTGTTGCAGCCCATCTCTCAATCTCACATTAAGCTCCCTGAGTACATCGGCACGTCACCGTAGAATCCGCCGCCACAGCCTAATCCTCCCGAACCTCAACGCCAGGTTGCTTCATTTCGCCCAGCTCCATCTCGATGGCGGCGACATCAATGGACTTCTCGCCGCGGCGGACGGCCTCAACGTCGGGGACGTCTGAGTGCTTTTCGCCCTCGAAGATGGCGTCGATCTCTTCGAGCGTCTTGCCCTTGGTCTCAACCCAGTAGACGGCCTGTTTGTAAGCATAACTGGGACGACAGTCAAGGATACAGGGGGTTTTGGGAGAGAAGGCTTACAATCAGAACGGCAATAACAATATCCCAGGATGCGTTGACGAGGTACATCTTCCAGCCAATGTTGTTCAAGCCAATTGGCATGATGTAGACGAAGAGGACGCTGTTTGTGTTAGTGGGGTCCAGGGCCAGAGGACTCAAATCACAAGTCACACTGTATGGCAGTGAGTACTCACGCAAAAGCATTCAGCATGAAGCTCGAAAAGGCCAGGCCGTTGGCACGGATCGAGTAATTCATGACCTCGGGTGGGTACAGGAGCAACAGCGGTGTCCATGCGATGGAATAGAACCCTTGGAACAGGAACATGACGGCGACGTCGCCGTACACTAGGCTCGACGAAGCGCCGTCCGGATTGTCGGCGTACATCTTGGACAGGCCGCCAATGATGAACAGGCAGATGACAAGCAATACCTGGGTCAGAAGCGCCGTCGGTTTGCGGCCCCATTTGGCCACGAGGTGCGTGCCCAGCAAGCAGCAAAAGAGGCACCATACATTGAGCACGACGTTAGCCTTGAGCTGTGACACGGTATCGGTAATGCCGGCCGTGTCCAACTCGGGGCCGAGGTAGTACGACGCGATGATATTCCCAACCACGCAAGAAAAGGGGCCGGCCGACATGCCAATCAGCAGCCGCCGGCGGGCTGAGGGGGTGCGCACGATTTCGCGCGGGCTCATGGTGCGGCCGTCCTTCTTCTCCCACTCGAGCGTGTCGATGATTTCCTTGTACACGGCGACCGACACGGGATCGAAGATGTCGCCATTGGAGTTGGCCTGGGCGACGGCGGCGCGGGCCGCCTCAAAGTGGCCTTCGTGGACCAGCCAGCGGGGCGACTCGGGGATGAATGGCAGGATCGCGATACACAAAATGGAAAAGATGCCCTGAAACAGCGAGGGCGCGCGCCAGGCCCAGGTCGACTGCCACTCGCCGGTGCCAAGCGTGATGCCGGCAGCAATGAGAGCACCGACATAATAAAAGTCGTTGAGAAGGCCGACGCCCCAGGCGCGGTAGCGACTCGCAAACGTCTCGCTCAGGTAGACGCCGCTTGCAATTCCAGATAGGGCAACACCAAACCCGAGGACGATGCGCGCGACGACAAACATGGCAATGTTCTGCGAGGCAGTCTGCAGCACGATGCCGACGAGCGTGATGACGGAGCCCCAAAAGACGGCTGGACGGCGACCAAGTCGGTCTGCAACAACGCCGGATATGATGGGGCCGAAAAAGCCGCCGATGAAGACTGACGCCGTGTTGAGGCCCGTGGTAGCGGTGTTGAGCTCAAAGTAGTCGAGGTACGACGGCAAGATGTTGAGCCCGTTGAGCATAGAGCCATCGTACCCGTTGGTCTAGATCGTGATCTGATGTTAGTCAAGTCAAACGTGACACACATGAAGGGTGATGATGACAACATACGGCACTCTGCACCATGGAACATAAGATAAGAAGCACCGAAAGCGTCACACTGGACTCTGGCACCCAGGCCGGCAGCCACGTTCCCGTTGGCGTCTTTTGAAGCATGATGAAGGGCATCAAGACAAAGTGGTAGCTAAACCTGTTGCAAACTATGTGCACTCGTTCAGGGTCGAATGCAGACCGGCACAGATGAGCCGACAAAAGACGACCGCGGGTTTGGCAAATGCAAAAGACAAACGTGCAGTAAAGCACCGGCGGGAGGCGGGTGACCACCTGTCATTATATTAATCAAAAGGCACCCGGCTTCGCGGCTTGACAGATACCGAAAAACAAGCTCTTCATCTGTACGTCGTACTGGGCGGTATCAACTTACTACGATACGTCCAGAATACCCTAGTAGAGCGTGTCTCGTGTACACGGCGAACGGCACACTTTCTGCGACCTTTGGCAAGTCCCGATAAGGACCAACAGCACCTCCGCATTTTAACCAACTGGTTTGTCGGTCTGTCGGTGGCATGCATCAGTGGCATGCACTTCAGCAATACCGAACGAGACTTGTTACGCTCTTTACGACTTCATAAAAGAGGAGCTATGCAATCACTTGGTGGAGGGGGTGTGAGCATCAAAAGGTGACTAGAGCTACCCAAAATCCCCTACGACCCACGATTGCGACCCTCATGGCGATCGCTGTTTGGATTAGGAAAGAAGATAGCGGACAATCGGGAACAATGACTAGGGCAATGAACAGAACGAAAAAAAGAAGACAAGAGAAAATTGTCAGCGCGATGCTGACAATTTCCCGGAGTCGTACAACGGAGTACACTTTGTCCGTAGACGCGCCGATACAAATTCACCGTCTCTTCCATCGCCCCTCGTCTTCGGCAGCTAGTATTCGAAAGCTCGAGTCGCTCCAGGAGATGCCGAGTACTGTCAACCGGGAGGTGACAATTGTGTATGGTGAGCTTAGCTGGGCTCCAGCGGATGAGATCCTTGCCTCCGCATAGACTAGCCCACGACAGGAAGGCGGATGTGATGGACAGCAAGAAAGGAGACAGTTGAGGACAGTTCAGATCAGGCAGTCCAAGAAAACCAAGGACGGCCCAGGAAGCTTAGTCTGCGGGTCCAACAGCACTGCAGGTCAAAATGGGACGCACGGACGAGACGAGGAGACAGCAAGAGGAGAAGACGAGGGAGATACGAGGGAGTTTTGTCTCCCCCTCTCGGCCGGGTATTCTTGCAGTGACCGAAACTAGAAGGCGTCCCGCTCTAGCTTCTTCTTATCTTGACGAGGAAATAATACGCGTGCGGATCTCGGTGCGAAATATTCAATACGAAATACTCTATACGAAATCGTCAATATTTGCAAAAAATGCAGACCATAAGGTGCAACGACGTGAGATGGGTTCTATTCAAAATGATGCGAGCGGCGACGGACGGCCTGGTTACCGTCTCTGTATCTCTATCGACTCTATCGTCTGTCCGTGAAACATGCCACCTGCGTAGCCGATGATGCGCCAGTCGGAAAAGGTATCGTACAAGTATATGTCCTTTGCAAAATAAACCAAACGCCAAGCTGTAGTCTTAGTGTTGCTGTAAATCTTGCTGCAGATTTACTTCGGTCTAGTTCTCAGCGCGCCACACTCAGCCATCAAAGACCTCGTGCTGCAGCTCCACGCCGTATTCCTTGGCCATGCCCTTCATTTGCGCCTCAATCTGGTCCTCCAGCCCGCGCCGGCCGCCCAGAAACTGCCGCACCCGGTAAAAGTAAAACACGGCGTCCGTCACCGCCAGCACCGTGCTGAAGACCACGTGCCGCCACATGTTTGCCAGCCGCTCGCGCCACGGCTGCGCCCGGTCTTCGTACAGGCTCGCGCTCGCCCACCGCCCGATGCGCTTAACCCGGTTGACGGGGCTGCCCATACGCTGGTTGTTGGCCTGCACAATGCGCAGGTTGCGGCCCAAGAATATAAACTCCTTGGGCCACTTCTCCTCATCCGCCATAATGTCGCGCATCCCCTGCTTCATCCGCGCCTGCATCGCGTAGTGCCGTTCCGACGCCGTCTTTCCGCCGGCCATGTCCTCGGCGATCCCGCGCCGGAACGTATCGTCGCCGCCCTCGTATGGCCGCAGCATCGTCGACGACGCAAACAACTCGGGCGCCTGGATGCCCCACTCCGCGCACGTCGCCGCCACCGTCGCGTGGTCCAGCGTCAGCATAGCCTTCCAGAACACGCTGTACTGGTGCCGGAACATCGGCGACATGTACACGTAGAGGCCGTGGTCGATCAGCACCAGCTCCGCCTGCCCGGAGGCCTTGCGCCGCACAAACATGTTGCCGGGGTGCGGGTCGCAGTGCACCACGCCCCACTTGAACATCTGCGCCGAGAACAGGTCGATCATCGTCGACATCACGTCCGTCGTGCTCAGGCCCAGCCCGCCCTTGCCGCGCGGACCGCGCCACTCTGTGCGCTCCGGTTTGAGCATAAGGCTGTCTCGCACGTCGCTGTCGCCAGGCCGTGCGCTGCTATTGCCGCGCGCCGAGGCGGCGGCCCGCACCTTGTTGCGCAGCGCATCCATGTCTGGGCTGGGCAGCTTGGCACCGTGCACACCGGGCGAGCCGACACCACTGCCGCCCCGCCAAGCCCCCTGGATCGCGTCCTGGTCCCACAGCCGCACGCCTTCGATCCACTCCGTCGTCAGCACGCGGTGCGACGAAAGGTCGTAGTACACCGGCGGCACGTAGACACGGCCACGAAGCGCCGGCTCGTTGTTGATCAGGTCGCGCATTGTCTCCGAGTTCTTGGCCTCGTTCAGAAAGTCCGTCTCCAGCATCAGTCGCTCCGACACAAACGGCACCAGCGAGTACAGCGGCAAGTCGAACCAGTACGAGTACACCTTGGCGACGGCCTTGAAGGCCCACAGGTCCCAGCCGATCTGCTTGGCAATCTCGGGTTTCTGGATCTTAACTGCCACTTCGCGCCCGTCCGGCAGCCGCGCCCAATGCACCTGTGCCACCGACGCGCTGGCCCGCGCCTTGCGCTCCATCACGCCCTTGCCCGCCTCTCCCGTGAAGCTGACGCCAAACACCTCCTCGACGGACCGCCCGCCAAAATCCTCGCGCACAACCTTCTCGACGGCCGCCCACGTGTCCTGCGGCGCGTCGTCAAACATGCGCCCAAACATGCGCTGGAACTCGGGCGGCAGCACAGCACTCTGCATGGCAATCGCCTGTCCGATCTTGAGGTACAGCCCGCCATTGTGCCGCAGCAGCTCCGAAAGCCGCTCCGCATTGCGCCGGTGGAGGTCGGCCACGTCGCCGGGTGTGCCAATGATTGGCAATGGGTCGGCCCGGAAGTTAATCTTGTAGTCAAGCGCCACGACCAAGCCCGTGCCAAACGTGCGCAGCGAGCGTGCCATGCCAGAAGCGTACACCTGACGGTCCACCAGGTACACGGCGCCACCGATCACGCCCAGCACCAGCAGGCGACGACCCCAGCGGCGCATCCGTGGGTACTCACGGGCCTTGCGAGGACCACCCAGCTCGGCAGGCGTGGGCGGACGCATGGCCTGGAAGGGTTCCCCATTGCCGCCTCTGCCGCCGCCGCCGCCGGCGCCTCGTGACTGGAGGGCCCGGCGCTGGACAGCAACGAATGGCGTGTGCTGTGTGAACGGGTGTAACGCCGGTGCAGCCTGCCGCGCCACACCCACGCGGTCGAGGACGGTCATGTCCACGGCGGCGCGCTTGACCGCTGCCGCCGCGGAGGCGGAGCGAAACATGGTTTGTCGGGCGGAAGAAATCGAGAATCGAGAAATTTGGGAAGATGGGGGGGAGGCAGGTCGGTAGAAAAACGGCGTGGTAACGCGCGAAAAGTCGAGAGTGCAGGTCAAAATTCTGGCCGAGAAAAACATGTGTCAATCTTCAAACCCAGCCACATCATTTTCGAAAAGATTCTCGAAGACACAAGGCCGCGTGCGGTGTTATCATTGTCTGGCCTGCGCAAAAACTCGGTGTCGGGCAGATGAAAATCCCGGTCAAAAGCCAAAAGGCCTCGAACGACAGCCACGGGGCTTCCGCTCTTTCCCTTCTAGGCCCGGTGTCCTCATTTTTATCACGCGAGGCAACCGCCACCACGTCAACTGCTAGGCTATATAGGGCAGGAACGACCCGATCTAGGGCCAGTGGCAGATGCCGTTGGCGATTAAACCCGAGGTGACTAACTGGAGCGGCCTAAGGAAAAAAAAAAAAAAAAAAAAAAAAAAAAAAAAAAAAGAAAGAAAGAAAAGAAAAGAAAGAAAGAAAAAACACGTTGGGAATACGGCCTTGTCTTGCGCAGGCACGCACTTACCCGAGAGCACGGCGTCGAGTGTGCTCAAGTGCTTTGAAAACATCCTCCACCTCAGGGTAAAGGGTATTGGGGCGCATACTAGGAATTCCTCAGTGACGTCGCCAGGAACTGCCGTTACACCAACAACCGACACAGCTCGAGATGGCGTCTAGAAAAGGTGGCCTACACCCTAATCCATGTCTCGGCGCCTCAGCATAGGGGAGAGGAAGTCTTGCCCGTGCATCCTCGCTCTCGCCAATGGTCCGACATTCGTCCATTCGGCAATCTGGTCCGTGGATCGGTTCTCGTAGGCATTAGTCTGGGACGGCTTTTCGAACACCTTATTCGTTCCAACATAAAGGGCCGTTTCTGCTGTGTCCCCTGCGCTGTGCGTCCCCAATCTGCAAATTCCATGACGACTCTGTGGCAAACAGGCCGGTCGTATGAGAAATCTCGGCCACTTCGCTATTGGGTTCTGTCATATTGGTATCACGGCGCCAGCTGACATGCTGCAGGGTTTGCCTTCCTTGGCACTTTGCTCGTTCTTCGCTCCTGTATCGGGCTTTCCTTGTTCGCCCTGTGTTCGGGCTCGGCTGTGTGTTTTTATCCTCTGCTCCTTTCCTAGCCCGCGTGTATTATCGGCAATGCTCGTATTACGCGGTGGCACAGAGGGTCTGTGTATCTGCCCATCGATCTAAAACAACAGCCCAGTGCTCCGTCACGCATCACTCATTCAGCAAGTCCTGCCCCCTCCTCGACGACTCATAAGATGGAGACCGGCGTGTGAGGTGCCATCCGATCTTGCTCGTGCTCATTCCGAGCCAAAGAGATGGTGAGAAGCAGCTTCACTGGCCTGGATCTCGGCGTCTGCGACCATCCTTGTACGCTCGTACGCTGCGATCAGGACGCATTGAGACACTGCTGGCCGTTCGTTGCAGGATCAACGGCTTCGCGTCCGAATCGTCGATGGCTGACGCCACCCAATTCCCACCAAGGCCGCGAGACACTTGACATCATCACCTTGCAAATTAGTTGGAATGGGGAGCCATTTTAGCTTTCCGCAACTGCCACACTAGCCTAGCTCGCCTAGCCAGTGCTGAGCACGCCCTGCGGAACGCGCCAGATGCCACTTGCACTTCCACGCTTGCTTTCTAATTCCTGCGACCGCCGTATTGGTTCCCTGTTGCGTAGCTGCCCTGTGAGGAGTAGATAAAATGTAAACAGACCATCCTGCCTTCCCTGCCTTGCAAGAGCTGCCAATTGCTTGGTGCAAGAACAAGGCAAGAACGCATTCCCAAAACACAAAACGTACACTGCATCCGCTCCCGCTTTGCTTTTCTGGCCATCCTCTGCTCCTTCCCAATCAACCCGACTTTCGGAAACTCTGCGGTTTTCCTCTTTCCCCCCGCGGGCCGCTGCAACTCCTTCCATCTTATTTTCCACCCACAACCCCTCCCCCACCTGCCCGCATTTGGCTCTGACGTTTGCACCTGCCGCTCAAAGTTGCCCGACCATTCTCCTCACGTGCTAGCATACCTGTCAGAGGCAGAAAACCAACAGCCCTGCCACGTACCTTCCTCCCGGCTGCGAGTCGTCGTCTTGTATCCTCCTTCTTCCTCCTCACCTGCTTCCTCTATCTTGCCGTTGCTCCCCGAATCAACAACCTCGAGATCGACAACTTTTACCACACTGGCATCGTCTCCCACGCGTGTCTCCCACCACCCCCTCTCATTGCACATCGGACGCCCGACGTCATCGTGGGCACAATGGACCCGCGGTTTCGCTATCCCGCACCCTCCGGCCGGCGGTCGCCGCCGCTGCACAACCCAGCGCGGGCCTCGATGCCGGTAAACATTGGCAGCAGCTATCCGTCTGCCGTCTACGGGGCCGACCCTCACGCCTCGCAGCCGCATGTGACCTCCCGATACGACGACCCGATCACCCCGCGGACCCAGGCCACTGTGGACTACCGCAATGCTCCAGCCGTCCCAACGCCGCCACAGCTGCACAAGACACAGCCGCCGCTTGCCGCCGCAGCGGCATCCGCAGCCTCGGGCCAACCTTCTTATCCTCCTCACCATCAGCATCAGCTTGGTGCCTCCCAGGACCCTGCCCATCTTCATCACCACCACCACACGCAGCACCAGTCCTCGATGCCGCCCCCACCTCCGCCTACGACCACCACGCGCACGTACACCGTCACCAAAGATCCGCTTGCCCGCAGCACAAGTCTGCGCGAGCCACCCCGAACCCACCGAGCATCCATGAACGAGTCTACGCAGAAGCGTCCAATTATTATCACCACCACTACAGGTGGCAGCTCAGGCGCACCCTCCAGCTCTGCGACCGCGAGCCGTGGTCCTCCGTCCCCCATCCGTGGCGAGTTCCGCACGCCCAGTGCAGACCTCGCGCGTGGTACCTCCACGCGCGAAGATAACTATTACTATGCCATGCCGGCGTCGACTGCAGCCCTGCGGACCCGCGATGCCCGGTACTCGTACTCTGGTGCACCCATGAGCGCCACGCTCGACGACGACGAGCTTAGCCGCTTGCGCGAACGCCATGATTCCATTCATGGAGCCCCACGTGTGGACTCATTCCCACGCTCGCGGCTCATGCCAACATATGTCAATATGCCGCGCCACGGTAGCGTCGCCTTGCCTGGCCCCGGTGGTGGCGGCTCGATCGCTAGCGGTGCGGGGTCGGCGTCCCTGAGCGCGGTCCCAGCCGGCTCGGCGGCTAGTTCCGGTGGCAACAATTACGGCGACCAAGGCTACGAATACACTAAGCCGAGTGACTTAGCTCGCTATGATCTGACCTATGAACACGCTGGCTCCTCCCGGCGCGGCCGCCGCGACAGCTTTGACCGCAACTACTACCGCCCCACGGTCAACCTGGCGACGGAAGTGGGCCGCCCATATGGGTATGAGTCGAGTGTCCGGCGCCCCGCTGGCGGTAACAGTGCCGCTGGCGCCACCGGCCCCCCACCGACTACATGGGGGCTGGACAAGATCAACAGAACGACGACCTCGTCGGTTTCGTCTGCACAGGCTCCGATCGGCTACGACCCAGTGGGTGCAATGCGGCCTATGGTGGTGCACGGCGCCGCTACTGGTACGGCCGCGACCACGAGCCTTGGGCCGCCAGCTTCTGTCAGCTCGAGCAACCAGAGCGCATCCCGACAGAGATCAGCATCCCTCTACCAAAACCCACCAGGTGACTATTACCGTAGCCGTGATGATAACGTATCGCGCGAGAGACGGGGCGGCGACCGAGACCGCGACTATAGAGATCGCGATTACCGCGACCGCAGCACCTTCCGCGATGGTGACCGTGCATGGGATCGGGAGCGGGACCGCGACCCTGGTCGTGAGCGCGATGGGCCCCGGGACAAAGGAAGAGACGGTGCGCGCGACGACGAATGGGACCGCAAACGTGCCCGTGCGCCCCAAGAGTACTACGCTGATGGCAGTGCCGCCAATCGTGCTTTTGGCATTCTCGTCAACAGCAGAGACAACAAGCTCCACCAGCATCCAGAATCGCATAGTAATTTGACTGGGCGCGGCGCTGGTGCTGCTGGCGGTGGATACTATGACGACCACCGTAACGCCTACACCGACGAGGGTATGCGTCGGGAGCGTCGGGAGCCCCGTGGGGACTGCAGCGGTTCGCGCTACAACGATACCGACCGAGAGTTTGTTCGTGGCCACCCGGATCAGACTGAGCGGCTTGGTATTGAATCCCCCAAGCGCAAGGAGACAGACGACGACATGTACGTCCATCATCCACAGGAGGGTATGCGCCACTGGGACATTAATGATCACCCTGACCGAGAGAGCGACTATGACCTTCATCGCGAACGTGAGCGCGAACTTCGCGATCCCCGAGACCCCCGCGAATACCGGCGGGAGCGGGAACGTATACGAGAGAGCGACCGTGAGCGCGGTCCCCGTGACCACGAAAGAGAACGTGAGCGTGAGAGAGACCTCGACCGGGAACGTGATCGCGAACGAGAGCGAGAGCGAGAGCGGGAGCGAGAGCGGGAACGAGCCCGTGAGCGCGACCGCGTCCATGACCATGACTATGACCATGATTCTCGCCCACCGGTCCGCGCCGCCGACGAGGAAGTCGCCAACACCAAGAAGAGTCGCGATACGAATTCTTCTGGGCTTGGTGTTGCTGCTGCCGCAGCCACTGTTGCGGGCCTTGCTGCCTCGGCTGTAGCAGTTGAGCCGAACAGTCGTCCAGCCGATAAGGCCGCAGATGCCTCTAGCCGTCGCGAACCTTCTCGGCGGGATAAGGACCGCAACCTGGAGAATAGCCCCCATTCTGCAGATAGCCGCGGCCGTGATCGTGAGCACGAAGGCCGACTCGGCCAGACCAAATATGAGAACGATAGTGGATCGGAAGCTAGCAACGTCTCCAAGACATCCGCCTACACGATACCGGCACCTGTTGCGGCTCCGCCTCCGGCCAGTGGTGACGTGGATGCGGAAGGACCTCGGACACATCCGGTTGACCGTACGCCTTCGACATCGGAGGATGGCGACTCTGACAAGGGATCCACAGAACCCGGCACACGCAAGCGCCGCCACCACACCACCGCCTCCTTTGTGCCGACAAACACTGAGGATCTTTTGGCGCTCAAGGCCGAGCTCGCCGCCTTGGAAGCTAAAGATGGAAAAGACGGCAAAGGTGGAAACGATGCCAAAGATAGTAAGTCATCAAAGAAGCACGACGGTGATTCCGATGATGTCCCGCGAGGGCATAAGGGCAGCAAGCCAAGCAAGGCCGATAAAGGAGAAGCAGGATCGCCCAAGATCATGACGCCATCCTCATCGCTCTCCTCTGCGCCACCTTCGCCCTCATCGCGCCCTGTCGACCGCCCTGCCGCTGCCGCCGCCACTGCCGCCACCGTTGCTGCCGTGGCATCATCCAAGGGCAAGGCTAAGGAGAAGGAGACGCTTCGAGACGAAGGTCCAGAGCATTCCCCGGAACGCAAGTCGGGTAGAGAGCTGGAAATTGTGCCAGAGCCAGACGATCATGCCGAGAATCGTCGTGGCCGCGACCAGAGCGAACCGCCGTCCAAGGGTACCGTTGTACGCCTCGTGTCACCGCCACGCGAGAAGAAAGAGAAACAGCCAGTCAAGGGCATTCTCAAGACACCGAGCTCAAAGTTTCCCGAGGAAGCCAATCCCATCCGTGAAGGCGTGGCCCCGCACAAGGATGACAAGACCAAGCAGCAAGGTGTGCCGCCAGGCGCACGATGGACACGGATCAGCCGCAAGCTGGTCAATCCTGAAGCACTCACCATTGGCAAAGAGCGCTTCGAAGTGCGTGACGACTTTGTCATTGTTCTCCGCGTCTTAAGTCGCGAGGAAATTGAAGCGTATACGATTGCGACTGCACAAATTAGAGGTATGAATATGAGTAGAGGCACTGCCATTTTAATCGAAGTATTTTAAAACTAACTTTTTCTAGATGCGCATCGCAAGGAGTACGACCACAGCTCGCGGCATCATGACGAACGCGACAAGGATAAGGAGAAGAGCAAAACCAATGACAAGGACCGCGACGAGTCGAGAGTCGACGATGAACGGCGGCGCCACCGCTCACACCGTGACCGTGACCGTGACCGTGACCGGGATCGGGATCGGGATCGAGATCGGGATAGGGACCGCGACCGCGACCGTGACGGCGCTCGTGACGACGACGACGAATACTATGGCGGTGGTGGTGGCGGCAGCATCAGCCGTGACGGACCCCGACGCCACCACCGACATGAGTCCGACAGCTACGATGCCAGTGACAGCAGACATCCGACAATTGAATACCACAGCAGCCGTGGTTCCGGCCGGCAGTACCACCGCAATTGAAGTGGACGGCAATTTTATATTCGTTTACCAATTGCTATTGTTTATTTTTTGTTTTGTTTTATTCTATCATCTTTTTTGGTGACCTGCTTCTGGTGTCCGTTTTGATGTTATTCATTCCATCCGCCCATGGTACGACTTACGAAGAGATGATATGTCCTCATGATCCAGTCATTGGTAAACAAACTTGATGCAAAAATTCGATTTGTTTGTATTTTCTTATTCTTAGTTTGGACGGGTTTTTGTTTTGGATATTGTATCTCTTGGCTGTTCATGTACGCAACTCCGAAATGATGTTACGAGATACAATTTGGCAGCAATGCATATTTGGGATGGCACAGGATTCCTTGGATATATAGTATTGGAACATTTTGGATCTTTGAGGGCTTGACGGTATTTTTGAAATGATTTTGTGTTCATTTTTATACCTTTTTTTGTTTTGTGTGCGTGTCTAACATGCGTTTCTACTTGACTCAGTCCAATGCCTATCGACGAAATCACGAAGTACACTGTCACCTGCGTTTGCCTCCTTGCACAGTCTCGTTCTTCGACCACCCATGTCTGCGACTTGATCCATTACTCATTCTTTATCATCACGGTAACACTACCGCCGTGTCCTGCATCTTTGTTCGACCTCGCGTGCTCTACCATGTCGCAGTCTCCGGCCCTCGCTACGTCTTTCCTGTTTCCCAGACGTTCGTTCTCGTGACGTTGCCCCAAGCTGAATCTTATTGTCTCTGTCACCTGGATGGTAACAGTGTGTTTTTGTACGCCATGTTTCTGTACGTTGGCCGTGGACGCTGCCCGCGGGCACTCGGTGTCACAGCAAGCCAATATCAGCCTCGAGCGCAATTGTGTTGCCCTCTGTCGTTTCCCAGTCTTAGAAACTACAACGCACCACCAATCAACGGTTGTCTAGGGGGCGTGAAAGGGCGAGACGACCACGCCCAGAACCCGAGAAAGGGGCGATTGCTTCGCAGAAGACAGCACACAAGCAGCAAGGTCTCAGATCAGGGAGAACAACACGGATCCTAGACAAGGACTGGCGGACGGACACCGCAAGGCGGGAAAACGAGGAGAACGAAGAGAACAGAAATAGCAAGAGGCGGTGAATTGAAGCGGGTTCGTGAGTGCTGTGCGACGGAAGTACATAAGACGGACACGGAGGACAAGGATCTTTTCCATCTTTCCTGATAGAAGCTTCCGGCGTGTAGCATCTATTTTCCTCCACTCGTCTTCTTCCACCACCTTCCGTCGCCCATTTCCCTTCCTTTCACACCCCACGACCGTCTTGGGACACAACTTTCTCCGTCTGCCATTCTTCGCAACTACATACGGAGTAACTTGTTTTCGCCTGATCTCTTGCCACCTTTCTCCAGTTTTATAACACTCTCCTATTCACCTGCCCGACTTTCTTGTTCCACGACGCAAACTGGCGGAACCTGCATGTCTTGCATGCCGCGCAGCCTGCCTCATCCTCTCCCTCTCCACCTCTGTCCGGGGCCATCCAAGGGACCTGCGTGGGTTTGAATCTCCCGACATCTCGTTCAGCACTGATCTGCAAGGGCTCCCGGCGCTGTTGTTGGTCCAAAGACAGTGGCAGACATGCGTTTCGCATGCACATCTCAGCGCGATGACGGCAGTAGCTCGACCGCGAGTGGCAAGTCCTCGGAAACATGCCAACCACAGTCCACGACTCGCTTCTCACCAGTGCCTCACTCGAACTCAAACTGACTTGGGTGTTTCTTTCGACAGTCCCGAGACACTCTTGCTGCGCTTATCGTATTCATGATTTGCTGATCAACAAGAGAAAATGATGAGACAGGACGCCAGGTCGTCAGATCGCTATCGGCATGTCCCAGCACAGGGATATGAAGTGCGCTTCTTCAACGTCGGTGGCCTCACCGTTTCGACACTTTGTCATCTATCGACGCCTCCTTTTTTTGTCTCCGAGAGCACTAGCGAATGATCGATGGAGCGTGGCGTCCGATATTTCAGCCATGGTGAAATATATGCAACGACGCCGGCCGAACGATTCACAGTCACGTTAACAACATAAATACTACAGAAGGGACACAGATGATGGACCAGTGAACGACCAAAAACGACACGAAGAGAAGTGGTGCAAGATCTCGCTCCGGTCTTTGTGGCCGGTTGCTGTACGATGCCTTTTCCGATCTAGCTCCACCGGCCGGGTGATGATGTTTCGGAAGTTTGGATTCTACGACGCGAGATCCGAATCCGGTGCCATGGGAGACACACATCGCGTCTCTCTTCGATGAAGGGACGCCCCTCAAGTCGGCTACCATCGTGGGAATGACAGTCAGCGGGTGGACGAGGCAAGAAACGGCCGTATGTTCCAGCGAGCGAGAAGGAAGTTACACGGGCTGGCCTGACAAAGAGGTGAGTAAGAATGACGAGGCTCGAGGGCGTGGCCAAAACTCATTCTCTTTTCCATTCCAGCTCTTCTTCTACCCACATCGCACAAAGGCGTAAACGATGCGCTGCTGGAACTGAAACATGTTTAGAAAGTCGGTGGTCTCTTCTTAGCTTGCATTTCGTTTTCCTGTGTTCGCCAACAAAACAAGGACCAGAGGATACAGAACGTCGGGGGGGAGGAAGCAAAAGTGGCCGTACTATGCTTTCTCGTTTACCTCCTTGTTTGGTCTCTGCGACGATAATAATCCCCTCGTGTTTGGAATTGGACGGACGTCGACGTTGCCTTATGTCCTTTGCTTTCTTTTTCCTTGCCATACCTCGCATCGGGTACTGGTGGTTGATGGAGGAGGATGGCACAGTGGTGCCCACCGTCTTCACCTTGAAGAGGCAGTGAGACACCGTCATCAAAACTGCCGAAAACGGCAAACGAACATGAGGCGAAGAGCGCATCGATGTTGAATGTACGATTGTTGGCATCACAGCAGTCGGTAACGTACGGCACAAAATAAATACACCCGACGAGGGCCAACAGTCAACACGGCAGGTCCTTCTACGGCTGTCTCGCTGGTACGTCGTATACTGATTTGTTTTTTATACATTATGTTATTCTGTCCGCATCTTGAGCTTCATTCCTCACCGGTCTGCCCGGTCTCGTCTTTCTCTTCACCCATCACTCTGTCTTTTGTTTGCCAACAAAGACTGTGTTCATCCGGGCCCTAGGCTTTCTTGTCTTCGTGTCTCCTTCAATGTCGCCTCTTTCTGTTCACTCCTCCCATGTCTTCTGGTTAGCACCTTTCCGCTACCGATGGCTGCATTTGTTTTTGCCATGCGAGCGACGCCTCAGATGCCGGCTGGCAGTTTGTTCGCTTTTGTCAAATAGCTTCTACATCGTAAATATAAGCGCCGCCACGCGAGCGCCGATCCCCCTTTTCCTTGCAAATGGCTTCTTTGATTTTTGACGTTTCGTTTGTCCCCTTTTTTCGTGTTCCCGTTTCTCGGCCGGCTTCTCGTGTATTATTTTATTCACAACCCGACAAGCGCCCTCCGCTCATGCGTCATGCACTGCTGTTTATGCCCCTTTTCACTTGTTATATTTTAAGCAACAAGATCGACTTCCGTGCCACACATCCGCCACATACCATAGCCCTTTTCTTGTGATGCGTCGGATGTGATCTCCTGGTCGTCGTTTCCAATTCCCTCTAACAGAGATATATGGACAGCGTTTCGTAGAGTCTCAGCCGATCATAGCAGAGCCAAAGGAGGAAAGTCTATAGCCAGCCAGCCACGCGTTTCCGGGTTTTTCCTTAATCGAGTATCAAAAATAGACCACAACGATACGACAACGCTGCAGACAACGACACCAACAAACAGACAAAGCACATTTATCCTCAGCCAAACCTCCCCGCCCCTCTCATTTCAATCACGGCGTTGTCCGTTCGGAGCAGAGTGCTGAGGTGCATTTTTTTTTATATAATCGGATATGATCAACACAATACGACCAAAGCAGACGAGGTCTCATATGGCTGCAACGCGCCGTCTCGAGCAATTCAAACACGGAAAGTCACACTCTCAGGGCACCATTCGACCCGCATCCTTAGCACCAACCCGGCGTCTCCTGTCTCGTTCTCGACTCTTGTCGAGACTTTGTGCACACAAGCTGACAGGGCTGTCTGAGTCTTCAACACTTTACCTGGCGCTTGTCTCCACTGACAAAACATTGGATCGCTCTTTCTGTGGTGGAGGAAGTGGGCCTTTTGCTGATCTTGCTTAGGAAACGGCAACAGCTGCGAAATAGGAGATGGGAGATGGGCCAGGGGTTGGGAGAACGAGGGGGGTTTCGGGGCTAGCGCGCGACTTGAAACCGTCGTAATTCCTGGAGGATATTATGGAGAGAGGTGCGCTGCGACGTGTGAGTGAAAGAAACAAACATTCATCAAATCCAATCTCTGCTTGTTTATGCCTCAAGAAGAAAATAGAAAAAGAAAAGAAAAAAAAAGAAAGGCTGCCCAGAAACACCCGAACAGCCCCTGGCAGGCAGTTGTTATGCATTGCCGCCAGTACATGTACGATGTACACCAGAGGAGAGTGCGAACGGACGTTGCGGGAGGAAAAGAAAAGTCGAGAATAACGAGGAAGATCCAGCGGCCTACGGAGTACTCCGTATGCCGCCATACAGAACACGGAGTGTTTTGTCCAGAAGGATTTTTTTTTCTAAAAAAAAAAGAAAAGAAAAGAAAGAAAGGGCTCAAAGATCGTCGGACGACAATCGCAAAACGGCTATGGTGTACGGCGTGCCCGAGGCGTTCCTACGCTGGCTAGACTGGCAACGGAGCAGACTCGCCGCCCGTTTGGTATTTGCTCCATTTGTCCATCTACTTGTTGCATGCTGGTCGCGATGTCGAAAATGACGAGCGACGGAGGACGGAGGACGGAGGAGGGCAAGTGCCGCCAAATGCATTTTACAAAGACTACACGAAATGTGCGCCTCTCTCCTACACATCATCTCCTTTTTGCACCAGTGTTTCGTGGTGTTTCGATGGCCGCTGCTTGGTTCCCCATGTGGA